ATGTATCCAACAGTGATGGGGTCCTGGCAGGTTCCAACCTGAAAGAGCTCCTGACGGCCAAAGCTAGGATAATTCGAGCAACAAAGTAAATAATGACACATTGGATTATAACCTAAGGAGTAAAATAAATATTCATGCATATAAGCTTATACCAATGATTGAATGTATAAATAAAATGGAGAGAAAGGGTAAGTCTTCCATGCAGAAGAACTGCAATATATTTAGATGCTACCCTGTCCAGGAACATGTTTTGGGGTATGTGTTAGACCTAGTGACTTGCTTCCAAAGAACAGAGTTTGGAAGGGAAAATAGTAACATTACAGTGGAGAGAAGCCTAGAAAATACTATCTTCATCAAATGCTCTAAGTTAATACTGCCAGAGAGAAGTTATCTTGAAATCTGTGCCTCAGACATGAAATGAGGATGAGAGCTCTTCTGTCCTGTGAACACCTGGCATACCTATCTCCTGCCCCATCCTAAGACCCTAGACAAGTTCATACAGAAGGGCATTCTACAAAATACCTAATCACCACGCTTACAAAATGTCAAGGGCATGGGAGAGAAGAAAAGACTGAGGGAGTTTTCACAAAAAGGAGAGAAATGAAATATGGAGTCCTAGCTTCTGAAACAGGCAAAGAACCCTAGTGGGAAACTGGTGAAATCTGAATAGTTTAATTAATAGCATTGCACCCATGTTGGCTTCTTAGGCTTGACAAATATACCATGGTGATGGAAGATGTCAGCCTTGGGAGAAGCTGGGTATGTGGAAGTCTCTGTATCATCTGCATAACCTTGTGCAAGTCTAAAATTACTCCAGAATAAAAGTTTGTTAAAAGCACATCTTTAAGAGCGTGGAGTGCTATGGGGAGCCTCGGGTGGGGAGTGCCGGTCTTCCGGCTGGATAGCTTCTTGCCTCGTAGGGCCCCGGAGGGAGGGCCCCCAGCGCATGGGGAGCCATGCGGTGGCGAGCGCTGTTGTGCGCAGGCCCTTAGGCCGGCCGCCGCCGCTCAATTGAGATCTATCATGACACAGAGAAACAGTGACACAATTGGCCTACCATACACCGACTGCAGTTGCCCACCCATGGATGTGTGTGAATCATTCAAACTTTGAACAACCCCTGGGAATACATGCCATACAACGGGCCACTCTTGCTCCTGCCATTGAGAACCAGAAAGGTCCAGAACCAGGGGAGGAGCAGCTGCTGAACAAGGACTCAGAGAACATGAGAATGCAGACTAAGCCCACGGAGTCAGAGGTCCAGTGGACTGGGGTCACGAGAGCCGCTCGGAAGCTGTAAACCAGGAGGACCTTGCACAATACCTGCAGAGACTCATTGGAAGCCATTCTTCCCCTGACAGTACTGGCTGTGGTGGAGCTCTGGAGAAGTCTGCAGCAGGATTCCTGCTGCCTGTGCTGACAGTTGGGGAGAGGACACTAACTGGTTGTGGGGTCCCAAAGTGATGGGAGGCTGGAGAGAAAACGCTACAAAAAATGGCTTTTGCCCCAGACGGCTCACTTGATTTTTGACAACCCTTAGGCTGTAACTACTTGTTAGATCCTTCTTGTGTATCTCTGTCTTCCTGAGAAACCACTTTGAAGATACCACCATGTATTACAGCAGTCATTGATATTTTCCTACTAATCTATCCATAACTCTGTAATGTTTGTATTGTTCCTATCCTATTTCATAAATGGATCCATGTTTATTATTATGTGTTTTCTACAACAACCATTGAGAATTATTGAATGATTATTCAGTAGGTCACTCAAGTATAGTTCTATTTATATTCTTTAGAAGCCACTTTGAAGATACCTAAGTATAGTACAACAACTATTGATAATCTCCTACCTCTTTTGTCTGTAACTCACTATCATTTGTCTATTTGTTTTCCTGAGAAACTATCTTATAGATAACAATATGTAAAACAATAACCATTGATAATTTCCTACCACTTTGTTTGTAATTTGGTAAGCCCCTCCTATTATTATGTTATCCTTCTTTTACTCTTTAAAATAAAAAAAAAAAGAGCGTGGAGTGCTAAACCATAGAGATTTATAATCCATATAACCTACAAAAGGCTCCTATTCAAAGTATATGAAGAATCCTTACAAATCAATAAGCAAACAACAGACTCCCATTAGAAAAATGAGTAAAGGAACAGAAAATGCACATGGCAGAAAAGGAAAGCCAAATGGCCAGTAAACGCACGAAAAGTGTGTTGTCTCTTTAGAGAAATGAGAACGAATTATTTCTTTAAATGTTTGGTTGCTTCGGTTTTCTTCTTCACACACCCCAGTTAAGTTGGAGCACTTTTTTTTCCCATTTGCTGTTTTCTGTCTACTTTCTTGCCTTTCATTCCATTTGCTTTTCTAATTTATATCCCTCTCTTTGCTCAGCAGTACTCCCCTGTGCTGCTTCCAGCTGTGTCTTCATTTCTGTGATAATTTCATTTTTGATTTCACTCTTTCCTGAATTTTGCTGGCTCACGCTGCAGATCCTTCTGTTTTCCTCACCATCTCTTCCTTGAGCTGTTGCTTCATTAAGTTTAAAATATTCATGGCAAAATATTTGGATGTGATTTTCATCTCTTTGTCGCAGCACATTTTAAATGAATGTTTTTCTCCCATTTTTATGGTATAATATTTTGTGTGGATCTAAAGATCACCCTTCATTGAAGCAGGCATGTTTTTTTCTCGGGATGGATATTTGCAGGATGTTAATGAGCATTAAGGGCCAGGACTATTCCAGGGGAGAAAAAAAAAAAAATAACTTTCTCATCTCTAGAAGTTTTCCTCTCCTTAATTTACCCAGTTCATTTATTCAGTAACAGAATAACACACTTGACTCTCCTCACTTCCTGGCTCTTTTATGAAATTAGAGAATTTGGGCATTAAAATGGGATGTAGAGTTTCTCTAGCTGCCATGGTTCAGATTTTAGGTGTCATCCAAAGGCCCATCTATCCTCAGTGCTATAGGGAAGTGATGGGGTCTTTGGTGGTGGGGCCTAATGGTAGGTCTATAGGTCATTGGAGGCATGCCCTTGAAGGGCCTCCTGGGACCTTAGCCTTTTCCTTTCATTTCTCTTTCATTTCCTGTCATCTCTCACTTCCTGTCATCTCTCACTTCCTGTTATCTCTCTTTCACTTCCTGTCATCTCTCACTTCCTGTTATCTCTCTTTCATTTCCTGTCAAGGCAGCTGGGTCAGTGGATCATGAACTGAAATTAAATACATTCTTTCTCTCTAGTATGGTAGGACCATTCTCAACATGTTGGGGTGGGAACTTTTTACAATGTAGTGATATCAGCCTCCGTGTAGGCATGTGCAGTTCTGATGTAACACCATAACATAAATCATACCCAGCCAGACTGCAGAATGTTAATGCATACCCAGCCACACTGTAGAATGTTAAGTGTACACCCATATAAGGGAGACAAACATTGATACAAACATTGTATAAAAGGGTCCAACTATGCCATGTTCAGCATTCAGCCTTTGGATAGGAACCTGCTGAGTCAGTGCTGTCATGAATTTAGCTGTTTCCTGAGAGAAAGGCCTTGGGGTCCCGTCTGTTTACATGAAAAAACTCTGCATCACTAGAGTTGATTGTCTCGGTGTATTTTCATGGCAGTAGAAAACTGATTACCACATGAGCTCACCTTTGTGGGGTGCAGCCTTCAGAGGCTCAAGGGCTTTCAGGGCCTGGGCTGGGGTGTGTGGTCATCCCACCAGTGTCTTTCTCTGCTATCCGATGCCATCAAGTCCGGGGGAATGATGTCCTTCCACCGTCTTTTGGACAGCAGTAGACAGGAGTGCACAGGTGCATTGTGTGAAGGAGAACCCTGAACACATAACAAAGGGCTGGGTTGGGTTTTCTAGGCTGCATTTAGGAGGAAGAAAAATGGCAAACAGAATCAGCTTGGGGCTGTATCTTTGAAGCAAGGGGTCAGCATGGAGGGGTGGGAACACTTGCTTTGGGGTTGGTCACATCTGTGCCCCAACAGGAGCTCAGTGTGTGTCACCCCTATGACCTTGCCGGCCTTGCGTCAAGCACCGCAGGCCTTGCAGCGAGGAAGTGAGAGGCACAGGACTTCCGGTGAGTGTTATGCACATTTCCAGCACATGAGGACACGCGCGGCAAGTCTGTCGCTCAGCCAGGCAGGGCTGGCTGCCACAGCAGGCTGGCGCGAGCCTCAGCAGTTTCACACAACAGCAGCTCAGTTCTTGCCTGTTCAAGTCGCAGGCAGCTCTCCGGGCTGGAGCTGGCTGGAGTTGCCCGCATGCTGTGGCTCTGCCCTCCGAACATGTGGTCTCCGTAGTAGCTGCCACGTGGAGGAAGAGCCATGCTGGCCCTAGTGCCCCACCTAAGTGCAGGGGATGCTTGGATCGTCAGGGGATGCTTGGATCCCTTCATGAGGTTAATTGCTTGTGTGTCTTAGCTTTTACTCCACAACCATGGCGACATTTTTTTCTCTTTTCCTTTTTCTGGCGGGGAGGGGACTGGAGATTGAACCCAGGGCCTTCACATTGATTGACACCCACAACCCTTTTTGTTATTTTTAAGTTTTAAGATAGAGTCTTACTAACTCACTAAGTTGCCCAGGTTGGGTTCAAACTCGTGATCCTCCTGCCTCAGCCTCCCAGAGTGCTGGGATTACAGGAGTGTACCACCATGCTTGGCTAGCCTTTTCCTTTGAACGAATATTTAATAACCTTCTGAGCGCACCCCAACATCAGTTCAGCTGTGAGGGACCTTAGTGTAATAATAGCGTTCCTTTTCCACCCTTGACACTCAGGCCAAGGCTGCAGAAGGGTGGGAGGGTCGGGTCACCTAGAGGCCAGGAATACGGTGGTGAGTCTCTCAGCAGTTAAGATATTTAAGTTTCTCAGAAGGGCAAAGGAAACAAAGGCAGATTAGTGAAACTAATGTCCAAATCTCTGTGGGAATGAGCCCGGGCTAGTGGTGAGTATAAATGCCTTCCTTTTGGATATTCCAGTGAGTCCACACTACCTGAGATCCTGTCCTGCGCATCCCGATGGATGGACCTCTGACCAGACTGGGCGTGCTCTTCTTCACCCGCAGCGTCTGTTCTTAGGTTAAGTCTGTCCTTCTGTGGCTTCATTCATTCATCCCATCTCTGGCCCTGACAGCGGCTCAGGCCTGCAGGCAGATCCTCATTCCCCTCTCTGGCCTCCTCTCCAGGCGCAGCAGCCCCGGTGCTCCAGGAGCCCCTTGTCCTGTGCCATTTTGAGATGCTGACAATAGCAACACGGCAGCCCTCACGGGGGGTGGGGTGGGCAGTGAGTTGCTGGCCTCAATTAGTCCTGAGAGTTTAACCCTTGGTCGTCCTCTGGGGAGGAAGTCAGGGCCACCAGACGCTGAATGCCTGGTACTGGAGTCAGCGCAGATGTTGACAGACAGGTGCCTTCTGGGCCAGACATGAGCTAGACATGACCTTTGCACGCCAACAAAATAACACGACAGAGAAGAGGGGACTTGGGGTGGATGCGCTGAAGGATGAGGTGGCCGCAGAGATGACAGCTGACAGGGTCTGTCCGGGGCAGTCTGAGGGCTGGACATTGAAGCTGAGTATTTTGAGCAGCTGGGACACCCATGCAGAGCGCTGATCTGTGGGGCAAGCAGGGCCTCCGGGCCTCGCGGGGGAAGCGTCCTCCACAAGAGCCACCTCCCCGCGTCTGATCCGTGTCTGCCAAGCACTGTGTACACAAACTGTTTCATTTCCAGTTCCCTGAGACGGGAGGGAGCTTTCCATTTATTGTTTGCTTTCATATGGACCTGCATTATTCATTTCAGCTGCTTTCATATTTGAATTCTACTGTTTAATCAGTTGTAACGTAGCCAACCAATCCTCAGTGACTGGCTTTTGCTCCTAGGCACAGAAGGTCTTGGGGAAAGGTTTGGAGAACGTCCTGACCCTCTCCTTTGGAAGCTGGTGGGGGCAAGCATGCCCAGGCCTCACACGCGCCCCCAGCTGGGCTGCCCCCTTCTCTGGGGTCCCTTCCCCTGCACTGCAGGGTGTTTCTGGGACTGCTGTGGCTACTGCCTAATTGTTCTTGCCTATGTGTAACCGTAATTTCAAGTGGGTCCTGGTGCAGCTTGGCAGGTGTTAAATCACTATCTTTCCTCTAATTCGAACAGTTATTCTAACCCTCCCACCTCTCTCAAGATCCCCAGTCCTATCAAGGGAGAGATTCCTTATGGGAGGTGTGCTTCATAGACCCGAATTAGGCTCAATTTGGGCTCTGTCTGAGGCAGTTTCTAACAGGTTCAGCATTCTAAGGGAAGCAGTAGTCAGAATGGATTTTCTTAGCAAAATCCCTTTATTTTCCAACAGCACCCATTGTGGAACCATCAGACAGCTGCTCCTTGCTTCCCCGAGGAAGAGCTGCTCTTCCAGCTAAACTCACTCAGGATCCTGACCCCAGCTTCTGCTCTCCATCCCGAGGCGGGGGCAGACAAGGACCGAGGGGCTGGGACACTGTGGGGGTCACACAGGTGCTGCTTTTCCCCACGAGGTGAGCTGTGCCCTCTCTTTCCGCCTGAGTTGGCTGGCAGCGAGGACAAAGGATGTCAATGTCCCCGACCTCAGTGGACGGAATCTTGAAGCCAGCTTCCCCTGTTCTCTGAGATGCCACAAAATAGCCAGCACACAAAGTTTCTAATAAAACAATATAAGATATGAGGTCAAGAACATCCTGTGCCCCGTCCGAGTCACTGGCTATAAACGACATCATCCCGTGGGACCAGGACATCCTGGCCTTGGGGTGCCAGTCTTTCTCAGTGATGAATTTCAAAATCCATAAATTGACAGGTGGATTTTGACAGTGCAATTAGCAAATAGCCCAGGGCCACTTGCCAGCTGGCCACCCTGCAGGATGCCCCACATGTGCCTGGCACATCTGTCTTCCCGCACCAGGGGAAGGGGGCATTTTTCCAAGTCGCTCCACATCCTCTGGTACGCGGCACTTTGTCCCTCATGAGCAATCCCATTTCTCTCCGCAGCGAAGAAATGTCCTCCTGGAGGAGGGCCTCATGGCGGGAGACCTGCTCGGCCTCCTGTGACTGCCTCGTTCCCAGCACCCAGTCCACAGTGGGGTTTCCTCTCCTGACACTGTCCTCCACTTCCACCTGCCTGGTCCCGTGCCGTCCTGGGATGGGACCACCCGCACTGCTCTGGAGCTCCTCGCTCAGTTCAATGCCTTGTTACTGATCCTCGCTCTTCCCCGCTGAGCCTGCCTCCTCCCTGAGGCAGTTAGCACCTACATAGTGAGTTCAAGGCCAGCATGAGCTTCGTAAAGAGACCCTGTCTCAAAAACAAAACAAAGCAAAGCAAAGCAAAACAAAACAAGAGCCCCTGCAAGGGGCTGCCTCGCTTTATAAGAATCTGCTCTTGGGTGAGTACTCATCCCTTGAGAGCAGGAACTCACTACAGGAAGCAAGGATCCAGTCTGTGACAAAGGCCTGGTCCCCTCCTCAGGCCCTGCTCACCTCCAGGGGCCTGGCCTCCAACACCTCCCCGGTGGTCACCAGGTTTCAGCAAGAGGGTTGGAAGGGACACGCTGCGTAGCAATCGTGAGGGTGTTTGAAGGACTCCGGGGAGCTGTGAGTGACAAAGCCCATGACATGGGCTGGTCTGGGGTTTCTGCTCTGATGAGGTGAAGAGGCCAGGCCACTGTAAGGTCTCTTTTACTGACTGTTCACTTGCTTGAGCCGCTGTGTGCTCCCTTACCCCACCCCTGGGCTTCCTGCCCTGTGACTTGCCTGTTCCTTCCCTTTACCTGTTTTCTAGTAGCTTTCCATACTTGTATGTCCTTCCCTTTCTCCCCCAGAATAAGACCTAACTGGAAAATAAGCCTTAGCGTGATTTTTCAGGATGTCCATAATATATACCCTACCCCTAAAATAAGCCCCAGTTAAGACTGTCAGCCAGGTGGGCACATTTAGAATATCTGTTGCAATACACAGGGGATGTTTTGAATTATGCTGATGTTTCCAAAGATGAAACGACTGTATCTGAATATAAATGCAGATTTTTGTACATGAATAAATGTAGATTTTTATACATAAAAAAATAAGACACCCCCCTGAAAATAAGCCCTATTGCATCTTTTGGAGCAAAAATTAATACAAGACTTGGTTTTATTTTTAGGGAAATATGGTATTAATATCTGGTCAGATCTAGATGTTACAAGTACTCTTCCCTAGCTCAGCATCAGGATGTTGGTTTTGTTTGCTGTCCTTCTTTGAACAGAAAGTTCTTAACTTTAATATGGTGAAAACATCGGTTCTTGTAGTTTAGGTCTTTTAATCATGAAATGTTCCCTGAATTCATCTTCAGGTATCAAATATATCATTATGCATTCTTTTCTACTATGGGGTGAGTTTATCTTTTACATTTGGGTTCTTAATTTACATGAAACCCACCTTTGCATCTAAAAATAAGCCCTCTAGCTTCACTTGCTCTTAGTTAACTTAAGTATTTTTTCAAATTTAAATTTTTGTTAGTATATGTTATGGCACATAATAATTATATTTCTTGTGAGAAGTTGATACATGTACATAGCATATCTTAATTCTTTTTATGTCCCCCTCCCTTACTTAGTTAATTTAAAAATCACTACTTTTGAGGCCACCCAGCTGGACCTGATATTATTAGTTCCCTATAAGACAGCACCCCTGGGCTATAATAACAGTTACCTGGGTTATCTTGCAGAATCTTGAAGGCTGCTTGAATCGTTAAAACACTCGAGCCCACAGATGTACCTGGTAGGTGACTACAATGGGATAAAAGACTTGGAGCGGCTGTCTTCATCTGTGTCTGCTCCCTTTGCTGTCCTAACCCCGTCTACCCATGTGTGAAGACGTGTTGATCATTTACAAAATGTTCCTCTGTCCAAGGTTACAACCCAGGGTAGCTTGGCTGATTGTCCGTGGAGTTGGTCTGCGTCTCTTCTACTGTATCCCTGGTCTTTCTCAGTGGCTGTGGGGTCCTTGGCCTGCCACGAGGCCAGGACGTTTGTACAAGATGAGACACCAGCCATAAGAATATCTCAGAGGTTCCTGGGTGAAGCTGACCGCCTGTCAGTATGAGTTAGTCCCTCATTCCAAGGCCACACAAAAACAACATTTGCTCACAAAAAGAATATCTCTGGAAACCATGCGCATGGCTGGTGGTGGAAAGTGACCAGATCAGCCCACCCCACTGAATCATCACAAAGCAAGCCCTTCCTTTGTTGTGTGAGTAGATTGCTCACCTCTTCCAGCACTGGCTCCCTTCGGCACTTGGGCTGAAGCCCAGGAAAGGAGCCTTGCCCATTTCCTTCCGGATGGTTCCCTATGGTCTCACTTCCACCATCTCCCTGCCCTGAGACCTCACCGCCCAGCAGCAGCGCATGAAGGCTTTGGAGTGCGTCTTTGTTCCAGTAGTATAAATTCTTCCTTTCAAAAAATACCTTAGTGATTTAAAAACTTTTATTCTTTCCTTAGAAATTTGAGAATAAATTTATTCAGTTCCTTTAAAAGTACAGTTGGAATTTGACTAGGATGGCAACTGTGACAATACTTGGGTGGAATTGGTATTTCTGTATTACGTTGTCCCATATAACAGCATGGATCAGTCCCTTCTTTTAGATCTTCTTTCTAGCTCCTTTAATGAAGGCTCAAACTTTCTTTCATAGAGCACTAGCCTATATTTTGCTATTTTTTGTTGCTATTATGAATGATATCCTATCTCTTCTTATGTATTATGAATGGCTATATGGCACAGACGAAGTGGTATTGATTTTCGTAAATTGATCTTACATCCGGGAACCTTCTTGGTGGTTCCAATACTTAGCCCAGTTTCAGTGTAGATTATTCTATTGTCCACAGATGACATTTTTATCTTTTTCCTTCCAATTCCTATGCCTCTCAGCTCTTTTTCTTCTATAACTTTGGCCATGACCGCTGGCTCTTTGTTACATAATAGCACTCCCAATAGGTATCCTTATCATGTTCTGACAAATTTTTTCCTTCCTTCCTCTCCCCTCCCTCTTTCCTTTTTCCGTCTGCAGATTGAGCCCAAGCCTCACACAGAGCGTGTGCTCTACCCCTGAGCTACACCCCCAGCCCAGTGTCATCCGTCTTACTGGGGTTAAAGTTTCCTCTTCAGGCTTGCAGTGTGCTGGGGGGTTGGGAGGTGCAGTCCCCACAAACCAAGGCAGCTCCACTCACCGTCTACTTTTCTGTGTTACTCTGTAGCTCTCAGTGCCAGGAAGGGCTGTTTATTCCTCCTGCTCCCAGCCCCCACGGCCCAGGTGCCCACCAGCCCTCGGCACCACTCTGCAACCCAGACTGCTGTGTACAGAGCGGAAGTCCCTGTCGTGCCCCTCCCCAACCTGGAGGCACAGCGCCTCACCTGGGCAGAGGTTGACCTCACCTCCCTACTGGGCACAAGGTGGCAGATGCGAGGGTGGCACGTTGAGAGCTCTGGCTGTGAATCCAGGTTCAAAGCTAGGACCCGCCGCTTTGTCTCTGTGTGACTGTGAACAGCTATTCAAACTCTAACCCTCGGTGTCCTCTGTGACAGGAGGGACAATGCCAGCGCCTGGGGAAGACACCTGTGGTGAGTGACATAACCCACGAAAAGCACTTAGCAGAATAGTGACTGCCAGCTATTGTATTAGGGATGCAAGGAAGGAATATCACTGAACACATCAAGAGTAGTGCTTTTATAGAAAGTTTAATGACATGCAAAGTGCTTTAGATAAGAGATGAAGGGAAAGCCGTGTGCAAGCGAAGTCAACTTTTTTCTTTTTGGTACTGGAGATTGAAACCAGGGCCTCTCACATGCTCAGCAAGTGTTCTGCTGAGCTACATGCCCAGCCCTTTGAACATTTTTTATTTGGAATTTTCAAACAAGGTCTTCCTAAATTGCCTAGATTAGTCTTGAACTTGCAATCTTCCTGCCTCAGCTTCCCTCATAGCTGGGATTACAGGTGTGAGCCCCTGTGCCCAGTTTCAACATTTATTTGAAAATGTTTACAAATTTGCAAAATAAAAGACTGAAGAGAGATGTATTGAAGTGGGGGATTACAGGTGATTTTTAATGATCTTTATATTGTTTTGTGTTTTCAAAATTTTCAGCAGTGAGTGGATAATTTCTTTTGTAAATCTCTGAAACCTGATTTATGGAAACCAAAAGAGTAGCGCGACTTAGCAGGGCCCCAGATGCCAAGTCCGGGCTGCTTTGGTGGAAACAGAGGCCCCTCACGGGCCAGGGTGTCTGGAACGGGCCAGGCCCCGGGGAGCAGCGTTTGTTTAGTTGTGAGTGTGGGTAGCCGTGGGGACCGTAAGTGTTAGGGTGGCACAAAAATGTGACAAGTGTGCGGAGGCCCCAGGATCCGGAGGAAAACAGGGCTGAGGAGGGGTGACGTAGGGGCAGGGGAGCAGAGGAGCCCCCAGCCCAGGGCAGGGGGCGGGGGAGCAGAGGACAGAGACAGAGACAGGACAGACACAAGGCAGAGCAGGGAGGCAGGTAGGAGGGAGCGGGTCACGGAAAGGCAGACATTGCCCCTGGACTCAGCCTGGCGCAGGCCCTGGGCACTGCCTGCCTCCCTCAGGGTGAGGTTTAAGTGTGAGCCACATGAGCCGGGTGTGGCGGTACCTGCGTGCAATCCCGGGACTCTGGGAGCCTGAGGCAGGA